TTTCACTCAAACATATGGTATTAATTATGCGGAGATGTTTTCTCCCGTTGCCAAGATCTCCTCTGTGCGTGTTTTGATTTCTTTGATTGCTAACCTTGCTTGGCAGCTATTTTAGTTAGATGTCNCATATGGTGTTAATTATGCAGAGATGTTTTCTCCCGTTGCCAAGATCTCCTCTATGCGTGTTTTGATTTCTTTGATTGCTAACCTTGCTTGGCCCCTATTTTAGTTAGATGTCAAGAATGCATTCTTGCATGGTGACTTGGCTGAGAAAGTCTACATGGAGCAGCCACATGAGTTTACTACTCAGGGGGAGCACCATAGAAGTGTATATCGACCGAAGAAATCTCTGTATGGTTTGAAGCAGTCACCAAGAATATGGTTTGGTAAATTTTTGGATGCAGTATTAGAGTTTGATAAATTGTCAGATGCAGTATTAGAGTTTAGTCTTCTTTGATGTCAGATAGATCATTCTGTTTTCCACAGACAGATAGCTGCAGGGTATACTCTATTGGTGGTTTATGCTGATGATATTGTAATCATTGGTAATGATTCTGAGGGTATTACTTAGTTAAAATTATTTCTGCAAGATAAATTTCATACAAAGTATCTAGGAAAACTTAGGTACTTCTTGATTATTGAAGTTGTCAGATCAAAGTAGGGAATCTGTCTATCCCAAAGAAAATATGTACTTAACATGCTAGAAGAGGCAGGTTTACTGGGTAGTAAACCAGTTGATGATCTTATGGATCCAAATTAGAAGTTGTTGATGGATGACGGCGTTCTATTTGATAACACATGTCGGTATCGCAGGTTGGTTGGGAAACTCAATTATCTCACTATTACCCCATCAGATATTGCATACGCAGTCAGTATAGTAAGTCAATTTATGGGGTGTTCTGGAGTACCACATTGGGATGCAGTCATTTGCCTTCTTTGATATCTCAAAAGTGCTCCTAGTTTTGGATTGTTATAATGAGCTAATGGACATCTTTAAGTAGAAGGTTTTTTGGACGTTGATTGGGCTGGTTCTCAATCTGATCGGCGTTCAACTACTGGTTATTGCACCTTCTTGGGAGGTAATTTTGTTTCATGGAAAAGTAAAAAACCAATAGTGGTAGCACAATCTAGTGCTAAAGCTGAGTATAGAACAATGACACATACAACTAGTGAGTTGACATGATTAGTATACTTTATTCGAGAAATTAGCTTCCCAGTCCAACTACCTTTACAACTATTTTGTGATAGTCAAGCATCAATTCATATTACTGTCAATCCAGTATTTCATGAGAGGACCAAGTAAATTGAAGTTGACAGCCATTTTATTCGAGAAAAGGTACTAAGTGGAGACATTGCAACTCCGTTTGTGAGATCTGAGGATCAACTTGCAGACATATTCACCAAAGCATTGAGTCGTACTCGTCTGTGGATATTTGTTCCAAGCTTGAATTTTATGATATCTAAGTCCAGCTTGAGGGGGGAGTGTTGAGAAAGCTACTACAATATAATTAGGGTTTATGTTTATTGTAATATGTATACCACACTAAGGGTATACTTGTATTTTGTTTCGTTGTTTAGTAACTATAAATACAAGATTAATAGTGAGAGGTAGGGTAAGCCAAAACCTCTCTTTGCCTCTCTCATATTGTGTTAAGTTTGCTCTAAACTTAATAAAGACAAACATANTGATATCTAAGTCCAGCTTGAGGGGGGAGTGTTGAGAAAGCTACTACAATATAATTAGGGTTTATGTTTATTGTAATATGTATACCACACTAAGGGTATACTTGTATTTTGTTTTGTTGTTTAGTAACTATAAATACAAGATTAATAGTGAGAGGTAGGGTAAGCCAAAACCTCTCTTTGCCTCTCTCAGATTGTGTTAAGTTTGCTCTAAACTTAATAAAGACAAACATAGAGGGGACCACAGAATCAGCAAAAAAGGGATCACCACGAAAACCCAAAAAGTGAGATGTTTAAATTCTTCACGATACTACACAGAGAGTCATTCAGAAAACTACCCAGTAGGAACCTTGGCAATATCCTGTAAAAGGCTTCAAGCCGCACACCTTGCCGTAGTCTTTTTCCCCAAGCAATACAATTTTCAAGGAACAAGAGTCTCCCTTACAATGGATGTAACCTTAGTCTTTCGGCTAAGGTGAATCACTCATACTGTTGTTTTGATCTTGCATCATACACACTCATGCATATACTCTTGCATACACACGCATTCGCTAGGCCATAACNAGAGTCATTCAGAAAACTACCCAGTAGGAACCTTGGCAATATCCTGTAAAAGGCTTCAAGCCGCACACCTTGCCGTAGTCTTTTTCCCCAAGCAATACAATTTTCAAGGAACAAGAGCCTCCCTTACAATGGATGTAACCTTAGTCTTTCGGCTAAGGCGAATCACTCATACTGTTGTTTTCATCTTGCATCATACACACTTATGCATATACTCTTGCATACACACGCATTCGCTAGGCCATAACCTAAGTTGGTCTGTAGTCCAATTTAGTCGATTTTGGGCACCATCAACGAAAGAAGTGGTAATTGGTTGTTTAAGTTTCTCCAAAGTCGGACTACAAGTTTAAAATATTGGTTATTTGATTCAATCCGAGTCATACACATAAAAATATGTAATGTAATTTAGTTGCTGTGAAAATAAAATTAATGGGATATTCAAATCATATATTTTAAATTGAATTTGGATTCAAATCAACCAAATTCAATAGTGACTACTCATAATTCTTAACAGATAAGAATTGAAACTTTTGATGAGGCATGAGAACTAAGAAATCTTTTTTAAATTTTGTTTTATATCCATTATTTTAAGGGTCAGTTGTATTTCTTAATTTTTTTTTATATTTAGTCTTTTAAGGATGAGATTACAACTTACAAGACAAAGAGGATAGACAATAAACAAACTCTGAAGATTAGCCACATTGATTTTGTTGAACTATATGCAAGGCACTTATTTGTTTAAAGCTACTGTGCCAATGAATCTGATGGTGCTCAAAATCTTTTTACCCAATTACAGAACAATAAGGGGATGAGGCCCAGAGGGGCTTAGTGTGTGCTTAAGATAGAGGGAAAGGTAGAAGTTGAAGTGGAGATGAAGACGAGAATATGAGTGGTTTGTCTCAGCCGAAGGACTAAGGCTACGTCCACCGTAAGAAGAAGCTCTTGCTCCTTAAGGTTGAAATTACTTGAGGAAGAAGGTTACAATTACAGATGATTTAGTTGAGAGCCTTTTTCAGAATGCTTGCTAGTTTGTTTTCTTGCCTATTTTTCTATATCTTACACAATAATATCATCTTCTATTTATACATCTTGTTACTAGGGATTTTAGAATGCTTCATTTTCTGGATGATTCTGTGGTCATCTCCTCATTTGTCTTATAGCTGAACTTGCAAACCTGATGTTTATTGTGTCCACTACACCTGGAACGGTATTTACAAGGAATCTCCTTTATCAGTTAATATTAGTTCGTTAGAGTTGCCTGGTATTGTCCCTTGTTCACTTTGCACGATGGAGTTGCCTGAGATCCACTTTGGCTGGACTGGCGTATGTCCCGAGTTGGACGATCCTGAGCTTCCATGGGGATGGGTTGTGGCTCAGGCTGTATACGGCGAAAGCCATCTAGATGGGCTGCTTAAATTGCCTTTGATGGACCCATTGGAGATTTTTGGCTCGAAAAGGGGGTCAACAACTAATTCACTAACCATAGAACTCTGTTGTGTATCATTCAGCAAGTTGTTAGGATAGAAATAGAATGGCTTCCATAAAAGTCAATACCTCATGTCGGTCGAATAATGTTATTTATTTATTTTTTAGAGAGGGAAAGGGAAAGGGAAAGGGGAGGGAGAATTAATCCCCTGACCTTAAGAAGACAAAGTCTTTACAAAATAAGAAGTACCATTGAACAAAAAATTCATTGATAGAATAATGTTATTAGGACCTTCAAAACTAATTTAATTTATTGGCATAATGATGTGTGAAGTGACGGAATCCCAATAAAAAAGTCCAAGAGTTATACTCACGATAACGCTATTCGGTCACAATATTATCACATTATTAGATCAGAAAATTAGATCAATTTTTTAGCTTTCAATAACATCACTCTTCTTGGTCTCTTCCACACAATTGCTAGGAGTGATTTAACCATTATATCTTCTCAGTTCATCATTTTAGTAAATAATTTCCGTAATGTATTGACCTCGTTAAATCTGATTGGGGTAGGTTTTGTTTGCACCCTTTACAGACGACTTGGTTTGATTTCCTTTTTGAGCTTGTGGATAAGCTTGCTCATTATTCTCTTGAATTATTATTATTTTATTTTTTTGTGATGAAAAGCAATGCAGTATAAATGAAAATTGAAGGAATGTAGATTAGTAAAACTTGATATAATTAGGGGAAAGATATTAAATTGATTGAATTTGTTGAGTTTAAGTATGCTTTAGTTCAATTTAATTTGTGACTAATATACTGAAAATTCAATTTGAGAGTGATAAAAACTAAAGCATTGATTGTGATTGTTTGAGCTCAACTGTTAAGCATTGATTTTTGCTCTAAGTTCGGTTTGATAAAAACTATTCAAGCTGAGTCGAAACACACATTAGTTGAATTCGGCTTATTTACACTACGAGTATGAAGCTGATCAACACTTCATTTTGCAACTTGAACAGGTCAAAATAAAGCAAAGCTCGACCTGTTAGGTTCCAGGGGAACTCATTCTTTAGAATAGAAAACCAGTTCATTGATCTAAACTGTGTAACTAATTAGTTATCCCTGCAGATCTCAAGGCAGCATTGAAAGAAACAAAAGATAAAGACACTGAAGCCATATCAAAACCAACAGCAACTCGAATGAATCTTTGTACACACAAGGCATCTTATTCTGTTCATACACAAAGCACAAGAAAGTCACATTATTCTGTTCATTTCACTGTTTCATTTTACACTCATCATAGACCACGTAGTCTTGAATTCTTCTTTGCTCTAACCATCCATACGGATTATGCATCGAAGGCCGTCTCCTTTTAGCATATATTCGAAGGCTTTGTTGATCACCGAGAATGGCANTCGAAGGCCGTCTCCTTTTAGCATGTATTCGAAGGCTTTGTTGATCTCCGAGAAAGGGACTTCATGGGTGATGAATTTCTCCAGTTCAAGCTCCTGCTCAACATTAAAACCGTAAGGATGACAGTACTACCATATGTTTCTTTAAGAGGAAGCGACAATGCTGATTCATTTCCATATTCGGCCATGATTAATTGTTGACTACATGGGATCCCCACACCATGTGTTCAGCAAAGAAAGAAAAAATCTGATTAAGAGCAATTAAGATCTTGTTGACTGTTAGGGTTCTTTATTAAGATTGATAGCTTTTGTGTCCATAGATGTAGTTCAGAGTTCTTGGAAATTCTATGTGCAAAGTAATACAATTTCAAACAAAAGCTAGTTGAATTGGTAGCGATGCAGCTTACCTAGCTCATGTATTTTTCCACCACAGCTGGAGGTCAGTGCGGGGTTTGTAATTGCCCAAAAAGGTAACNTGCAGCTTACCTTGCTCATGTATTTTTCCACCACAGCTGGAAGGTCAGTGCGGGGTTTGTAGTTGCCAAAAAAGGTACCTTTGAGAGTCCTTTCATTCAAAACATTCATTGGATGGGTTTTGAATGCATCGTCTTTGTTTGGCACGCCGACAATTACGTACAGCAACACCCCATCCCTGGACGAAAGGATGAAGGTTTAGGAACATAAAATTTGTCAATGATAAACTTCATACAAATCGAATGAATAGTTCAGAGAAAATTACATCATGAACACACTCAAATGCAGATATCATTGCATTGATACTTCCAGTACACTCCACACTTCGGTCAACACCCCCACCAGTCATGTCGGCAATCACCTGAAAAGACAGCCATATCAAAATTAAGGTTTCCATGTGAGAAAACAACAAATTACTTGAAAAAATGTGTATAAATACCTCTTGAACAGGCTTTTCATGGTCTTTTGGATTCACGAACTCAGTGATGCCAAATTTCTTGGCTGTTAGCATAAGAGGAAATGAATTATCAGAGAGCAATCAAAAGTACATTAGATCCAAATCCTTTTGTCTTTGCTTTAAGAATGGGGTAGGCGGATGTGTTGCAACTTAGAAGCCATATACGAGCTATCCAACATTAACACCGCGCCACGTTTCTAGCTATGTCTATGAACTCGGTACTCAAATAACACTCAGTAGTTGACAAAAGATACCCCTATCTAGTATTTAACTCTCAATAGTTGACATAGGTATCCACATATGAATAAGAGTTCAATTTCAAATTTCATTTGAAAGGTATGCAAGGACAGAAAATAGGTATAGGGATTATATAGTGCCTATACCAATTTTCTAACTGCCTCACTCACCTTCATGAAATCTGTTAGAGTCCAAATCCACCTCAATGATTCTTGAAGCACCAGCAATTCTAGCCCCTTCAGCAGCCTGTCATGCAACAACGCAACTATATGTAAGCATCCGAAATAAGAAAGACCAAATAAGAGCAGTGTTTTATTTATTTATTTATTTTATGCTTTTATAAGGGGAGAAGAACTCACAACNTATGTAAGCATCCGAAATAAGAAAGACAAAATAAGAGCAGTGTTTTATTTATTTATTTTATGCTTTTATAAGGGGAGAAGAACTCACAAGAAGGCCAACAGCTCCCAATGCAAAGATGGCTACTGTCGAACCTTTTTTTGGTTTTGCGACATTCAAGGTAGCACCAAGACCTTTAACACAAAGCCCAAAAATTCTCGTTAATTAAAGAACAAATATTCAAGTGTTTTTAGGAAAGTAACGAAACATATAAAAAAACACTAACCCGTGGAGATTCCACAGCTAAGAACACAAACTTTGTCGAGTGGTGCAGCAGGGTTGATCTTGGCAACACAACCAACATGAACCACAGTATACTCACTGAAGGTGGAAGTGCCGACAAAATGAAAAATGGGTTTGCCATTATTTGAGAACCTCGTCTTGCCATCATTGAGCATTTTTCCCCGGTCAGTGTTTATCCTAAGGAGATCACACATGTTACTCTCCTCTGACTTGCAATGTTGGCATTCCTCGCACTCCCCAGTGAAAACAGGAAGCACATGATCACCCGNCAGTATACTCACTGAAGGTGGAAGTGCCGACAAAATGAAAAATGGGTTTGCCATTAATTGAGAACCTCGTCTTGCCATCATTGAGCATTATTCCCCGGTCAGTGTTTATCCTAAGGAGATCACACATGTTACTCTCCTCTGTCTTGCAATGTTGGCATTCCTCGCACTCCCCAGTGAAAACAGGAAGCACATGATCACCAGGTTTGATATCTGTCACACCCTCCCCAACACTCTCTACAATCCTAACAACCACTACAGAAAATGCAAACGTCAATATATACTCGAATGAATAATATACAAGAATAACACCCATTTTAGTCCCCATTAATAGGGATCTGGGAAATGCAGTTTAAAGACGTTTAATCGTAAAAGATTGAAATTAGAGTAATTTTCTTTTTCTTTCTCAAAGTGTTCATACCCGCCAGNTCTACAATCCTAACAACCACTACAGAAAATGCAAACGTCAATATATACTCGAATGAATAATATACAAGAATAACACCCATTTTAGTCCCCATTAATAGGGATCTGGGAAATGCAGTTTAAAGACGTTTAATCGTAAAAGACTGAAATTAGAGTAATTTTCTTTTTCTTTCTCAAAGTGTTCATACCCGCCAGCTTCATGTCCAAAGATGCGAGGAAACAACGGTATTTGTCCCTGAAAATAAATTCCCAGGTTTCTATTAGGTAACCAGGTATAGTACACAACTGGAGTGTTTATCAAAAAAAATCCTCTTGAGCACAGCAATTAGTATTGCAATATATGTTTTACATTAGGATGAAATATTTGTCATACTGGTGATACTATGTCATCAGTGACACGTGGTGTATAAACTTTCCAAAGAGAAACCAACATATGAACTGCTGAACCCCATGCGTAAACATGGTAATTATTGGATTATGCGGGGTTCACTATGTCCGACTTAACTTATAATTTGGTGGTGATATTACGTGTTGATGATGACTTCAGAACAACTTCACAATACATACGTACTCGTACATACGAGCAGAACCTAGTTAAACGGGTTTGATGAAACATAGTTACTCAAGTTACAATTAATTACCTTGGCTTCCCAGAAGTAAACATCAGTGTGGCAGAGGGAGGTAAAAAGGATCTTGAGACGAACTTCCATTGCCTGGGGGGNTGGCTTCCCAGAAGTAAACATCAGTGTGGCAGAGGGAGGTAAAAAGGATCTTCAGACGAACTTCCAGTGCCTGCGGTGGTGCCACCTCCACTTCTTCTATCACCAGTGGCTCTCCTGCTTCCCATGCTACCGCAGCTGAATGTGCATACAATACATTTTATCAATTCGAAAAAAAAATCAGGTGAATCAACAACAGATATAAGAAATATATCATTGCTATGGATAATATTCCGTGACAAAGAAATGGATTTACCAAAGAAAACAACAAATTAGACTGAACCAAAAAAAAAAAAAAAAGACTGAACAAGAAGAAATTCTGAAGCTTTTCAATTACACATTAGGACAGACCCATAATCCAATGGACTAATTTTTCTTTAGAACCACGTAGTTTGATTATTAGCCATATCACAGAAAAAACGCATTTGCCCAAGGTTAAGTTTGTTGCTCTGAAAATCATAATTTTCTCCGATAACTTAATACTTCGATGGTTGCAAAGCCCAAACCATAACACCTGGTGGAAACAGAGAATTCTCAACAATGATTGGGACAGAAGGGAGTGATGTCAGTTCAAAGAATGTCATGAAATTTAGAAGAGAATGATTGAAGAGCCAAAAGTACCTCTACAACCAATAACCTGACCAGCTGTGCTTGAGCTTGACATGTTTAGCTTTCTCTTCTCTCTCTACGTTTCTGCGAAATGGAATTCTCTTTGATTGTGGAGAGATGGGTTTGAATGTACAGGTATATATATAACAATGAGACACCAAAACCATGGAGTAGGAAACCATTAACTTTCATTGTTTTGGTTTTTCTTTCTGTAAAACTGCTGCAACCCACAGTCGCAGCAGTTTTCTCCCAAAAATGTTGACTTTTTATGCTTCTGGTGACATTATTGAAGAGTTGACAATGAAGCTGAATCAAATGGTCCGGAGTATACACAAGGATATGTGGGTTTGCTAGTCATTTTGTGCCATGTGGTAAGTGAATAATTAGAACACATGGTTTGAATATGGCATTAGAAAAGGGAAATACATTTTCCACTCCACTAATGTTATGGTTATTAAGTTTGTTTACTAAATTTTTTATTTCAACTGATGTGACACAATTTCTATCATTAAATATTAATAGAACTCATTTATTTGATAATAAAAACTGTATCACATGAATTAACGTGAAAAATTTGATAAGAATTCTTGGTAAGCATAACATTTTTGTTTCCCACTCTCATATGTCCATCTTTTGTCCAATTAGAATTTGACATATGTAAGAACTTATTATTTTAATGTTTTGTTTTATTATTTTTAGAATCAACAACTACACATACCTCATGGTAAGAACATATTTAACAGACAAATCTTCAAATGTCGTTTTTACGTGTTCCTCGGAACCCCTCAAAATTTGGAACGCGTGGAATATCGCTAGATGTTGCTACAACTCTCAGGAGTCACCTCAGACAAAGAAGAACTTTGGTTTTCACCCCTGGTTGGAAGAAGGAAACCCAAAAATCAAACTCTTTACCTTAACCCGCCTGGCAAAATAGAAAAAACATTGAGCAAGAATAGGCTTAAGTTGGAAAAGGTGGTCAAACTCACGAATGGTGGGTGGAGAAGTGTTTCCACTCTCGCGCTAGTGAACAAGAAGACCAACCAACAAGCCCCAACAGTTGGAGAAAATCCGAGATAGGCACACATTATATAAGGTGAGGACATCTTGAATGAAGGGATGAATAGGAAGTCTAAGGCCAGCTCGAAACGCCGAGGTGAAGAAATAGGTCATCCCAAGAATAGATGAGTTACATCTCTCGTCCTCCTCGAGAGAATGGAGCAGAATAGAAGTTGAAAATGAGTACTTCTTCCTCAAGGCATCCAAGTCGTCTTTGTCGATATGACTCGTAGTAGACTCAGCACAGCAAGTAAGATAAAAAATGTCTCGTCAGATCTTTTTTCTGTTAGGCCTATAGGAAATTGGAATCTTTGTTGACCTCTTCTTCTTAGCACGACTAGAGACAGTTGGGGGCAAAGTCAACAGAGGCTTTTTGGATCGAACTGAGGTTGTGGCCACAAGAATCGACCCGGGATCCTCAAAATCTGAAACCTTAGGACGAATCTCGAATATCTTTGCCAAAACCAACAAAAATTGGTCTCCCTCAATCGGAACAGTGTTGTTGATAAAGGGCACCTCACCACTAGGGGGAACGAAGCCTCTTCAATCGTAACCTAGAATACAAAGAAGGCAAATGCAAAACACAATCTGATAAAAATAGTTGAACTAAACACCAAGATCTGATCAAGGTCAACCTCAACAGGAATGGGTAATCTACAAAGCGCAAAAAAAAAAAAGCAAAACTGCCAAAATGACGTTAAAAGTAACTAAATCTCCAAAACAAAATAGAACCCACGGCCCCCCCCCCCCAGTTGGGGTTAAAGGGATCCAGAGCAAAAGAAAGAGAACATGTATGTACCTAATGAATAGTTAAGACCATTTCGTAGAAGAATGAAAGTACAGAGTTCTTAAAATCATCAGTGGAACGAGGCAACCACCTTGAGTCTAGAAAAAGGGAAAGGAGCACAGAAAGTCAAAAATTTGAAATAACAGTGGAAAGGTAAAGGGCATTCTCCTCTTCTTATAACATTTACTACCATGATGAGACGTGGGAAAGAACCGTACCAAAGAAGCCCTCTCCCCGCGACGCATGTCTTCTCCTAACACATCTTTCACATCAAAACAAGTATAGGGGAACTGAACACGCTACTGGAACATCACTAGTAATCATGAGTAACTATCATCCACAGGATAATCATTGAGACAAAAAAATCGATTTTAACCCCAAGACGGAGCTAGAAGGTAATCCTCCTGACCTGGGGCTAGAGAGCAACTAATGATAATGAATTTAATTCTGAGCCCGTCTAGAGCCCAAAATCCTCTGGGCTCACCAAAGGTGGCCCAAGCATCTCATCAAGAGAGCATTCATTGGGCTCAGACTAGACCATAACCCAATTCATATAGGCCCAATGCAAACGATCTCGGAATAGGTGCTAGCTCGACGTTAACGAGCCCAATATAAGTACCAGTTTAGGGAATGTGAGCACGACACCAGGTTAGTCTATGAGAGCTGCAACATGACACATGGATAGGAGACCATGAGACATTACCTGACAATTCTGATGAACAAAAATCCATCGGTAATGGAGATGGCTCACGTACTGCAGCCAATGAATAATGGGTGCATAAAGGCGTCAGGGACCACAACTCCAATAACAAGACTGTTGAGAAAGCTACTATAATATAATTAGGGTTTACATTAATTAGGGTTCATGTTTATTGTAATATTTATACCACACTAAGGGTATACTCGTATTTTGTTTCATTGTTCAGTAACTATAAATACAAGATTAATAGTGAGAGGTAGGGTAAGTCAAAACCTCTCTTTGCCTCTATCATATTGTATTAAATTTCTCTCTAAACTTAACATAGAATCAAAGCAAGGTTAGGTCTAAACTCCTATTAATCTTTTTTTTCTTTCTCCCTTTTTATTTTTTATTTTTTTCTTTGCTCTTCTTTTCTATTCTTGTCTTCTTCTTTCCTTTTTCTCTATTTCGAGCCTTCACTGAGTTTGTCGGTGTTGAATGGGTTTGCACTAAACCTATGCATTCCCAACGGCGCAACTTCATAGTGAAATGGATGGTGGTTTTAGTGGTTCTCTACTGAGTTGATCTTGGTATTGGTGCTTTTTATGGTGGTGGTGGTGTGGTGTTGCTGTCGACTTTCCTCGTCATTGTTGTAGTGTAGTTGTTGGTTGGGTGTGAGGCCCTGTCGACTTGTGTGGCTTTCGGTGATTTCTATGGTAATGTGGCCACTGGGGTTCCTTGGTAATATTGACTGGTGCGAGCACTATCGACATCGAAGAAAAGGAGTAGGGTTTAGTTGAAACCCTAGTTAGTGAAGCAGATGACCCACACAGGCGAGTCGCGGGTTTGGGCAACGGGTCTAAGCCCACGAGCTTAAACTAACCTCAAGCCCAATCCAAATCCAGATCCAGCAGCTTTCAGACCAAACTGGTCCAAGTCCAGTTTAATCCTGGTCCAATACTAGTTCAGTCCCGGTTTAGTTAATCTTTCATCGATTCAGACTAGTTTTATCATTTTTTCCTACGATTCAGTGGTCTAGTGAACCACACCTGTCCGGTTCAGCAGTCCAGCAAAGTTTTTCTTCCGGTTTAGTGGTCTAGTGAACCTCTCTTGTCATGTTCAGCGGTCCAGCAAACCTCTCTTGTCCATTTCAACGGTCCAACAAACCTCTCTTGTCCGGTTCAGTGGTCCAACAAGTTCTTCTAGGTCGGTTCAGCGACCCAGCAAGCTTCCCTTGTCCTGTTCAGCCATACAACACTATTTTGCTTGATTCAGTTTCTTTTTTGCACTATTTTGCCCCTTATGGCTATGGAATCCAAGAATGATGAAATATTAATTGTTACTTCTCCTGTGCCACTTGGTTTGTCTTTTGTTGTTCTATTTAATGGTCCTATGACATTAGTCAAGCTTAATGGAACTAATTATATTTTATGGTCGCGATCAGTCCAAGTATTTCTAAAAGGTAAAGGCCTCAAGAAATATTTAGTGGACCCTAAACCCAAGGAAGGTACTATTGGGTATGATCAGTAGAAACAGGCAGATGCTCAAATTATATTTTATTATTTAATAGTAATGAGGCTAGTATTTGGGTATATAATATTAATCCGATCACGAAAAAGTGCGAATCAGAGGGTCAATCTTCTTCTTCTAGTTTGGGGAATAAGTAAAAGACTTCTACCCCATAAGGGTTTCAAGGACAGGGCCGCGACTATCAAGGACAGAGCCAATGTCAATCCTCCCAATGCAGGAGAAGCTTCAGGACTACCTACAAGGCAAGCCAAAGGACTTGTTACATATGCCACCAGCTGGGTCACATGAAGTGGAATTGTCCTCAGAGACAGGGATCCTAGAGCTATGGGGCATTCCAATCCCAAGCATCAATGGGGCATACCCTGACTTATTTCATTCCTCCCTACCCCACTATGGGCCAGGGGAGCTAGTATCAGTTCTAGAGTGCTGCACAGGCCCTAATACTTCACGTGCATGGGCCGGGGCCGAGGCCGAGGACAGGGCTTACAAGCTGGGACTTCTAGGACCCAGGGGCGTGTCTATGCAATCACACTTCAGACTGAGTCAGTGGATAAGTCGATTATTCAAGGTACATTTCTACTCTTTCTTATTGGCAAGGGTATTATTTGAATTTGATACATCACATTCATTTATTTATGCATCATGTGTGAGAGATTTGGCTTGGAGGTTGAGACCTTAGAAAAACCATTGCATGTAAGTTCTTCCCTAGGATCTAGGGTGAGTATTGATTAGATATGTCAAGGTTGTGAGCTAGAGATCTCAGAGATTCTACTCACCATGAACCTAGGGGTCATGGACATATCGGAGTTTGATCTCACCATGACGGCATACCGTGTTGTCATCAATTGTGATCAGAAAAGGGTTACTGTCTACACACCGAAGGGTGTTTGTTTTAAATTTTTGGGGGAGCAACATGATGTTTGACCCCAAGTAGTGTATGATTCTCGTTGGCACGGGCAGTTGACGAGTTGGCTAGCAAACATTACCTGGAGGACGAGGCGAG